AGTTCACGGCCCTCTCTTCTCGGAAGGGAAAAAACACAAAGACGCACTTGATCGTCGATCCCCCGGAGAATATGGGAAAATATGGGAAGTGTGGGGGGGGCGAAACGAAAATTATGAATATTTGGATCGATGTGTATATCTATATATATATATATACAAAAGGGAATATTGGGATCAGCGCGTTCGTTGGACCCTCGTCGTCGCACACATGCCTCGGGCCAGGCCATTCTCTGCCAGAAGACGGCCCGAGAAGCCCCCAAGACGGCTTCCCGAAGGCCCCGACACGGCCCCGACATGCGCCTGCGCCCCTCCGGCATGCGTCCGAGAGGTGCCTAAGATGGCCGGGAAGCTGTGCAGTTCTGCCCCCGAGAAGCCAACGTCGTCCAATTTGACGGGCCTTAGGCAGCCCCATTAGAGACCACACTCAGGAGGGGAAAAACACAGACACAATCAATCGTCGATCCCAAGGAAAAGTATGGGAAAATATGGGAAGTGGGGGGGGGAAGACGAGAACCCGTAAAATGTTGGGAAATATGGGGAATCATATTACTTGTGTCTATTTGGTTGTGTGTCCCAGGGTCCCTTCACACACTAATTACCCCAAGATGCGACAAGAGTGTCTCAAGAGGATCCCGGCACGGCGCGAGTCGATGAAATTGCATCTGGCTTCTTGTAGGTATTCGAGCATTGTAGCATTGTTGCCTTTCGGCCCATACTCGGGCCGGGCGAAAGGGGGGGATTGGGAAAGGGGGGGTTACGAAATTTGCTGCATACTGCTGGTTTCGGCTTCACCGAGGGGCCCATTCCTCGATACATGGCCGCCTCCGGCGCTGGGAGGCGCCAGGAAAATCAGCTACGTGAGCTGACTCTCAACCCCCCCCTTTGCTATCCCCCCCTTTCGCCCGACCCGACACACGGTCACACGAATACCCGGGGGCAGCCAGAGAGGGCACCGCGGACGACCTCCTGGCATTGGAGTAACCCGGGCTGCAGTCGCTGCGGAAGGCGCAGTGATATTTCTCAGCGAGCCCCATGCTCAAGGTAACGTTTTTGTCTTATCGGGGAAGCGTAAGACCCGGGTTTGCCAGGACTCGGGTTCGCCATCGTTTTTTGACGACCGCGCCTCGGATTTTGACGAGGAGGAGTTTTGTGGGATGTCTGCAGCGGGAGGCCTCGTCAAAATGCAGGCTCGGCCTCGTCGTTTTTTTGACGACCTCGTCGGGGATTTCCGAGTCCCCCGTACCCGGGTCTTACGTCTCCCCGATCTTACCGCAGCCTGCCAAAAGATAACGTTTTTGTTTTGCCGCAGCCCGTCCCCCACCCCCGGCACCCCAAAAAAGAAAGACAGAAGAACAGACACATCCAGGTATATACATGCATGTGTACAGACACCAGCATGCCAGGATAACTCCCTACATACACTTGCAATCGCTATTGTAGCGACTCTGAGCTTGGCGTAAGAGATCGCAGGATGACAGCACGACTGTCCAGAACGATTGGTGGAGGGTAGCGGTAGGGGGGGAGGGGAGGAAAAGGCGGCAAAGGACAGCATGTTGAGGATATTAGGCGTGCTGTTGAGCCCCCTGGTTTCTTCCATGGCCCGCGCGTTGATATTCGCATGTTGCACACATGCGGGCAGTTGGTCTCAGGCTGGCGGGCCTGGGCTCATCAGCTCGAAGGTGGATTCTGCTATTGCCAGCGTTCGTATCCTGACAACAAGATGTCTGACTGTTCGCGGCCGCTCGTAGTCGTTGGCACGGCGTGGTCTTTCGGCTTAACGATCATGGTTATTCCTTCCTCATCACCCACCAAACCACCCCAACCCAACCCGAGGGCTCAGATTTACCCTCGATTTCCAGTGGGGGGGGGGGTCGGGAAACATAGAAAAAACACATGTGGAACCCTTAACCCCCCCCCCAACCCGAAATTCGGGTCTTCGGGTTGGGTTGGGGTGGTCGGCTAGGTAGTCGCTTCCCCCCTGCCATGTCTGGCCCCGCCGACCTGCCCTGCCACACGCCGCACCCTATCCTTCCCTGCCCTGCCATTTTCCGCCCCACCCCGGCCAACGCCGTGGACACGCCGATTCCAACCCTGCCATGTTCCGCCCCGCCACAGCTGTGCCCACGCCCAGCAGTGCCGAGCGCAGTGCTTTTTTTCGGAGAGACAGCTGAGGGCGGAGGGTCTGTGGGGCTTCTGGATGAACTCGCACGTGGGAGCAGGCGATCCTTCAGCGATGTCTGCGGGCCTGTGAGGGACACATACTTCCAATAGTACGTCTTTCCACGTGACAGTGGCATGGCTTTTTCTGGACCCCCCCCGCTGAAGCGGATATCATTGATCGTCTCCCTCCTCCCCGCCTCTTGCGTCTTCCCATCCGCACTCTCCCTCATCATTCCTCCAAGGAGTAGTACTGCTAGGTGCTCTGACGGAGAACCGTCAGTGCATGAGGTTTGAAATGGCATGGATCGCGACTTTCCCCAGATGCTAACACTCTCTCATACAAATATGATTGGCCCAGGCTACGCGCACTTGAGCGTCAGCTGCGGAACATCAGGCCTAGGGGCAAGTGGCCGAAGTTCTGACGTTGCAGGATCCGACGATGGCAACACTGAGCCGACGAATGCTAACCACGGACTTGTGGTCCCATCCTCCAGCCTTCCTCCCCCCTTTCTCCTCCACCCCGTTCTCTCTCCCGCCCCACCTCCCCCCTCCTCGCCCCCTCCGCCACCCGCGCCTCCCCTTGTTTGCTGCCTCGCTGGGGTCCGTGTGCTCTCTCTCTCCCCTGCCGCCCGAGGCCCGGCTGACCACCGTCTCCCCAACTCAGGAACTCACCTCGCGCGCAAACTTCGACTTCGACGCTTCTGCTCCCGCTCCCCTTCTTCGGAGGAGCGCCAACAATACACCACCACCAGCCCTGGCCAGGTCCATCTTGGGCCCTGGACTGGTGCATGGACCTTCAGGCTTGGGCCAGGAGGGCCTGCAGACCAGCCCAGGGCCCAGGATAGGCCTGAACAGGGCTGGTGGTGGTGTATTGTCCGGAGCTCTCCCATTCTCGTCTCCCTTCCGTCGATGACTTCCTCCACTCCCCTTCCGCTGCTCCCCGACGCCCAGCCACGCACCCCCTCCCGCGTCCTCTGTCCTTCCCTCACCCCCCCCCCGTCATCCGCCATCTCTGTCCCCTCTCGTCCCCGACACTCCTCCCCCTCGTCCTCCTCCTCCTCCTTCTCCTCCTTCCCCTCCTCCTCCTCCTCCTTCCCCTCCTCCTCCCCTCCTCCTCCTCGTCCTCATCCTCCTCCTCCTCCTCCCCCTCCTCCTCCTCCTCCTTCTCCTCCTCCTCCTCCTCCCGCGTCTCTTCTCCAAAACGGTGGGGACGTTCGTCAAGGGATGTGCCCTGGAGGCTTCAGACCCTGGAGGATCCCTTATCCAGTAATGGCGGTGGTGACACCCACAACCAATCTGCGATTGGAGTTCCATAGGCTTCCAAACCCTCGAGCAATGATCCAATGGTTCCTTATCCAAAACCCTCACGGTACCTCACATCCCCTACCCCGTGTCCCTCTTCTCCCCATCCCTTACCTCGTTCTCCTCACCGATCCCTCCCCAGATCGCCCTCCGCCGGCCCAGTCGCGGGTGCGCTTCCGGACCTCCTTTAGGAGGGGCATCTCGGACCGCTCATTCAAGGCTCCAGGCCGCGGCTGCCGGTTTGGGTATGCATCGTCCTGTCACCGCTGTGTATGTTTACGTGTGTGTGTGTGTGTGCATCTCTCGTTAATTTCTCTCTATCTCGCTCTTTCTCTCTATGTTTCTCTTTCTCTGTCTCTTTCGCTCTCTCTGTGCCTGTCTCACGACACGACTTTTGTGTGCATATGCGCGCCAACGTATTTCAGACATGCACATGCGTACGAAAGCGATTGCACATTTTGGTCAGCGGCGATGGCGAGCGCACAGCGCACATCGCGTTCTGGTAGCCGACGCCACTTCACTTGCAAACGCGTAGGCACGCATGCACGTACATACGTGATCACGTATGCCAATGACGTTTCAGAGCTCCATCGTTTTGCTCTGTGGTCACTGTTTTGGAGCAGGAGATCTTTCCATGCCCCCCCCGCCTCCTACTCCTGCTGGAACTGCAGGGGGAGGAGGACATTTGGAGGGAACAGAAGGACGAAGCAGGGAGGAACGGGGGAGCCGTGATCGGGCAGCGGAGAGCAGGGGGCAATCGGCGGGCACAGAACGGCATAGCATAAACTGTTCCGCCGATCGGGGGCGATTGTCCTCGGGCGGCTGGACATTGCACACCCGACATCCGCCACCGTGGGGGCCTAAACCTTCCAACCGCCCTGCGACAGGCGCCCCCGACGGTGGAACAGTGTATGCTGTTCTGTTCTTCACCGAGCGCGTTCCGCTGCTTGTAAAGCGCCTGCTGGCAGAAGTCCGAAACGGTCGTGTCTCCCCCTGTCGTGGATCGGAAGTCCCTCGCGGGGCGGATCCAGGCCATTTGCGAGTAGTTACGCTGCGGCTCGTGGGACGCGCTCGTCCAGTTCTATATGCCCCCTCGATGCCCGAGGCAGGGAGGAGGGAGCATCCAGCATGGGCGGTGGGGACCCCCCCGGCGCGGTGCTCCGCCGACGCGCCGCTGCCCCCGGGGGGCGCCCGCGACCCCTCCGAGGTCGGTTCGGGGAGGGTGCCCACCCTAGCGCTCTTCGCGCCTGCTGGGTGCCCTCGTGCCTCCCGGGGAGGGTGCCCCCCCCTCGGCTGTCCTGTCTGCTTTCTGGCCGACGGAAGGTCTCCTGGTCCCGCAGGATGCTGCTCTGGCTGGAATCCCACTGCAGCCCAGCGAACACAGCTGCCCCTTGTGCTTCCAGGGTTGCTCTGCAGCCCCCGGCGGCGCGCTCGCCCTGCCGGGCACAGCGGCTCCCCAGCGTCTTGGCCCGCCCGCCCCCGCGGCGTGGCTCAGGCGAGGAGGGGCTGCGCAGAGGGGCGCCACGCGGGCGGCGGCGATGGCGGCCGCCGGCCACCGGCCCGCGCGCCGCACTGCGGCTGCGACGGCGCTGGCGCTGCTGGCGGGCGCCTGCTGGACCTTGCCCGGCACTGGGCCCGGCGAGGCCGCGGGCGATCTCTCGCAGTGCTGCTGCTGCTGCCGATGCCGCTGCTGCCGTTGCCGCCTCGCCCGGGTGGTTTCTGCCAGGCCGTTGCCGTTGCTGCTGGGGTGTTTCTGCTGTTGCTGCTGCTGCTGCTGCGACTGCTGCTGCTGGTGCTGAGCTGCTGTTCCTTCGTCTGCGTCTCCTCCTCCTCCTCCTCCTCCTCCTCCTCCTTGTCCTCCTCATTGTTTAACTGCTGCACTTGGTCGTCCAGTTTGTTTTCTTGCTGCGCTGCAGGATTTGCTTTTTCGTCCGGGTCTAGGGGAGGTTACGTTATGCAGACTTCCAAGGCTTTTGCTTGGGTTGATTCCGGGAATGTTCGGCCGCCGTCGGGAAGAAGTGGTGCCGAGGTAGGCTGGCTGTCCTGGTTTGGCGTGTCCGGAGGCCCCAGAGGGACGAGGGGGCGCCGGGGGCGCCGCCGGCCAGTCTCGCCCGGCCCTCCGCCGAGCACTGCTCCCGTGCGCGGTGGCGCCGATACCTGCGCCACCCGTGGAGGCGCGAAGAGGTGGTCGCGTGCTCCTGGCAGGAGGGCAGGCTCGCAGGGGGGATCGCGCCAAGCCCTCGACCCCAGGGCGACCAACATCAGGAGGGGAAAACAGGCACAGGCAGAATTCATCGTCCACTCCCCAGAAGAAATGTGGGAAACCATGGGGAGTGGGGGGGAAGGCGAAGAACCAGGAAGTGTGAGACAATACGGTGGGTTGCTTGTGTGTGTGTTTCTTTGTGTGTCCTTGGGCCCCTTGACAACACGCGTGCTCTTGGACCCTCGATGGTCCCACCCGACCGGCCGCGCACGGCCTCGGGCTGCGCCAAAGGAGCGACAGGAGGAGGATCGCGCTGTGCGCGCCGCTGCCTGGGCCACAGGCTGGCCTCCTCCAAGGGGGCGGCGCGAGGGCGCGAAGAGGTCACGCCTCGCGGGGCGCAGTGCGCGAAGTTGGAGATGCTCTTCTGGGAGGGGGGTGGAAGCACACAGACACAAACGATCGCCGATTCCCAGGAGAGTATGGGAACATATGGGAGTGGGGGGGGAGGCGAAACTCGAGAAAATCTGGGAAGCGGGGGGAAGGCGGAACTCCAGAACATGTGGTAGAACAGGATGCCTCTTGGGACTCGTGTCTATTCATCTCTGTGTGTGTCCCTGGGCCCCTTCAAACTGGAGTTCCTCTTCCTTCGCCTTCGCGCCCTCGCCCGCGTCGCGGGGCCTTGCCTTCCTTGCGCGCCCTGCAGAGGCGCGAGGCCGCGTCGCGGCCGCCTTCTGCCAGCCGCCGGCCGCCTCCGCTGCCGGCGCTGCGGGGGCACCCGTGCGCGCTCCGGAGAGGCGCAGGGGCGGCACCAGAAGCACAGGCGGCAGAATTCAGAGGGGGAGGAGGAGGAGGAGGAGGAGGCGGAGGAGGAGGAGGAGGCGGAGGAGGCGGAGGAGGCGGAGGGAGGCGGAGGAGGAGGAGGGAGGCGGAGGAGGAGGAGGAGGAGGCGGAGGAGGAGGAGGAGGAGGCGGAGGAGGAGGAGGAGGCGGAGGAGGCGGAGGAGGAGGAGGCGGAGGAGGCGGAGGGAGGCGGAGGAGGAGGAGGAGGAGGAGGAGGAGGAGGAGGAGGGCAAGCTGAGACAGCTGCACAGTCGCTCCGAGGTACGAGATCGAGGTCGTTTCCGGGAGGGTGCGTTGGTGTTCTTCGGTGCTTGTTGGACGTTCTTGTGCGTGTTGGGGCAGGGCACCCTCGATCGTCCTGCAGTTTGGGCCGGCGGAGGGCCTCATGTTCTCTAGGGATGTTCTTCTGTCCTGGGTCCGACTGTAGCTAGGCTGTGGGGGCCCCCTCGTCGCCACGGCTGGACGCAGCTCGGAAAGTTGGTGCGTTCGGACCCCAGGGTGGGTCTGGGGATTGATGTTGCGCTGCCATTGTCTCAACACACTCTTCTCCGAGCAGTCGGGTTCTGTTTCAGTCCTGATTCCTCTCATCGAGCCCACCCGTAGGGTCGGTCGGCTCCTTTCTCAGCAAACAGGGCGTTGGGACTCGCTGGTGCTAGAAGGCCATGCAGTCGGAGAACTGCAGAGGAAGCGGAGGAAATGGAGGCGGTGTAGGATCTGGCGACAGAAGCGTATGTTTTGAACGAGGAGTGCGAGGAGAACGAAGAGGATGATATGTAGTGTGATGAGGCGAAGGCAGAGGAGGCAGAGGAGGAAGGCGAGGAGAAGTGAGCGGAGAGTGGGATGGAGTATATAGTGGAGGCGGCAGATGAGGGGTGGGGAGGGGAGAGTGGAGGTCCTGGCCTCTTTTGGGCCCACCTGCGCGCGCATCGGCCGCGGCCTCGCGCGCCCTGACGACCGCTCGCTAGCGCCGGGGCGCGAGCACCTATGCCCGCATCTTTCATTGGGGGGAGGCGCGTAAGAGTTGGAGGGCGATCATGCTGCCTTAATGAGCATTCGAAGTGTAGTGCTCATAGCTTGCGAGGCACAGTCAAAATTCATGGTAAGGATGCGTTGCTTCATCAAGGCTGTCCTTGGACCCTTGATTGTCCGACCCATCTTGAGCCAATGTTGACGCCCAAGGAGCTCCAAATGGCCATTGGGCCTTTTAGAGGTCCTGCACCCTTACCTTCTTGTGGAGTTTTGATGTAGTTTGCTGTATCTGAACCTTTGGTATGTCCAGGGCGTCCAGGGCGTTCAGTGGGCTACGGAGCGGGAGTGGCGGGACGACCAGCGGAGTAGAGACTCTCAGGGCGTTCGGTTGGCCATGCTGGAGCTCGAGTGGCTTGCTGGGTGGAAACGGTGGAGGAGGAGGGGGAGGTGGTGGAGGAGGAACATGAGGACGAGGGGGTCGAGGAGGAGAAGGAGGACGAGGAGGTGGAGGACGAAGAAAAAAAACGTGGTGCGCAACTCGAGGGAGGGGCGACGGAACCTCTTGCGGCTCCCGCGCGCGGCAGGAGCGAGGCGGGGCGCCGCGGCGCCGCGGCCGCGTGGCTGCCGGCCGGCCGAATGACCCCCCACGGAGGAGACCCCCGGGGGAGCGAGCGGCGGCATTGCCCTGGGTCCGCCGCCTCCTCCTCGGTCCTCTTCCGCATCGGTATTCCCCCTCGACCCTTGTCCCCCCGATCTTGTTCCCCATCCTCCTCCTCCTCCTCCTCCTCCTCCTCCTCCTCCTCCTCCTCCTCCTCCTCCTCCTCCTCTCCTCCTCCTCCTCCTCCTCCTCCTCCTCCCACTAGTTTCGGCTCGCGAGGTGCTGTCCCTGTGGGTGCGCCTGCCAGCGTGGGCGAGGGGCCCCCAGCGCCCGCTGAGACCAGCGCTCGGCACGGCGGCTCCCAGAGAGAGACAGCCGAGCCGCCGCTCGGCTGGTCGCGCCCTCTTCAGGAGGGAAAAAAACACACAGACACAATTAATCTTCGATTCCCAGGAAAATATGGGAAAATATGGGAATTGGGGGGGAAGACAAAAACCCAGAAAATATATATGAAAATATGGGGACTATTTTTATTTGTGTGTATTTATTTGTGTGTCCTAATTTCCCTTTACCTCTGCACGCCTGGGCGGGCAAGTCCACTGCCCGCCTGCAGGCCCTGCTGCAGGGCGCGGCCGCGCAGCTCGATTAGCATTCCGGCAGGTCAGCAGGGACTATGGTGCCGAAGCTTCCTGAGCCGCATGTGCAGCCACGTGTTATACGAGGCGACGAGTTCCCGCTGTGGGGACGATGGTACTGTGGGGCGAACCCAAAGTGGGTTTGCAGAATCACATGGCGGTGCGGCAATTCGGCGCCAGCACGGATCGTAAATGCGGCCAAGAAGACGGACAAGATGGCACAGGAGGCAGAGGCAGTTGGCAAGAATTTCCCGTCCACGCCCAACCGTTGAGCTGGTTTACGCACCAAGTTGGTGCCATGGAGCCCCAAGGCGACGGACGTCAGCAGGCTGCAAGAGGAGCTCAACCGGACGGTGGCCGAGAACAAGAAGCTCAAGGGTTCGCAGGACGGCAAGATGGACGTGGACGACGGCAACGAGACCAGCGGCGTCGGTGGCAACGGCGCGCTGCGTAAAGAGATCATCGCCAAGATCGCGTGGTATGAGAATTTGGTGCAGTGTTTCACAGACATCAGGGACACCGACATGGTGGAAACGCTCAAGCCCAAGATCGGTGCATACCGATGGCGGCTTCGACCCTCTCGACCAAATCGACGAGGACGGTGCATGGAGAAGCTGGGTCACGACCCAATGGAGTGGCCGGACAGCTTCGCCAACGCCCCCTGATGTGGAGCGCTGCCGAAGCGGGCGGCCGCGTTTCAGCCTGAGGCAAACTGCGTGCGCGCGGCGTGTGCTTCATGCATTCATTCCTCCTCCTGATCCTGACAAGTCTGCTCCTCTCGTCTCCTCAACCGCTTCCTCCTCTTCCTCTTCCTCCTCCTCCTCCTCTTCTTCGTCCTCCTCTTCCTCCTCCTCTTCCTCCTCCTTCCTCCTCCTTTTCCTCGTCCTCCTCCTTCTCCTCCTCCTCCTCCTTCTCCTCCTCCTTCTCCCTTTCCTCCTCCTCCTCCTCCCATTCCTTCTCCTCCTCTTCCTCCGCGTCATCCGCCTCCTCCTCTTTCCAATCCTTTCCCTCTTCCTTCAACTTTTCGCCCGAAGGTTCCGCCGCCGCCTCCTGCTCCTGCTGCTGCTCCTGCTCCTGCTCCTCCACCTGTTCCTCCTCCTCCTCCTCCTCATCCTCTTTCTTTGAATCCTCCCCCTCCTGATCCTCCTTCTCGTCCTCCTTTTCCTCCTCCTCCTCCGTAGCCTTTTTGGCTCAAGGTCGAACCATTTGTCGCGGGGGCTCGAGCTTGTGGTCCCGCCGCCGTACGACAACCATCGAGAGAGCGCCCTACGCTTCGCGCGCGCTCGGCATCCAAAACATCACGTCCAGTAGACCGCATTTGGTTTGTAAGCGGTGCGGTGCCGACAGCTGGATCTATGTCAGTAATAAGGCCGAGCACTGTCAGTTTTGTGGTTTGGCGTTTCCCTGTCGCGGTCATGGTGATCGCTCCACGGCCAAATTATCAGGCTGATGTACCAGGTGGTCGTGTCAAAGGTCGTCAAGGAGGAGGCACATCGGGAAGAGGACGTCAAATATTTGTTGAGAAGGGGCAGGGTTGTTGGCACGGCGCCTGCACACAACGCACGTGATGACGGCGATGCTGTCGATGCTGCTCCTGACCCTCCTCCTCCTCCTCCTCCTCCTCCTCCCTCCTTCTTCCTCCCCCTTCCTCCCCCTCCTCCTCCTCCTCCTCCTCCTCCTCCGCCTCCTCTGCCTCCTCCTCCTCCTCCTCCTCCTCCTCCTCCCTCCTCCGCCAGTCAGAGGCAAAGATAGGGTCAGGGGCGGGCGGCCTAACATTCAATCCCGGGGAGCCTGCTTCTGTGGGCCCTGCTCGGAACGATCTGCAACACATGGAATCTCTCCTGAAGGCCCGCACTAGGTACACTCAGATATTCGAGTTTCTGTCATCTCATGTTCTTGTTCGGCGTGAGTTTTATAGCGTGCGCGCCACCGTTGAGAACATGAAGCAACGCAAAACTGAACGAATGTCTGCGGACCAGCCCCGTGCCCAAGTTCAGAGTCACATTGAATCACGGCCAAACTGCAAAGAGCAGAGATGAGTATCCAAATTCTCGGGTCTCCGGTGGATGTTACCATTCAGAAGAAGGACGAGATTACTGCGCGCCGAGATCGTCTCCAATAATATTTGGATCATTGGCAATGCCTGAGCCCGCCCCAGGCGACGGTATATCTGCCGCGGGGGTTTTGGAAAAGTCTATCGGCGGTGATTCCCCCAGCAGCGTTGGCTTCTCCGCGTGCTGCACAAGCCCGGGCCCAGTTGTCATCCCTGGCCCCATCCGGGGACTGGCACCTGTAGACCCAACGCACAGCCCACTCGAAGGCGCAGCCTCGCCCCCGACGACGACGTTGGGACGATATCAGCGACGAAAACGACGCCAGCATCGGTGGTCAAGATGACGACGAGGATGATGATGGTGACGATGCAGTTGGAATGGATTGGGACCTACAGCTCGCATGGCAGCACGGGGGTCGCGATTTGCCCCCCCGCATGGTGAACACTTCGCGCAGACCGCCGCCCAGTGCTGGCCACAGAGGTGGTAACCCTGTACAGGATCCGCCAGTACCACGACCAGATCTACCAAGTAAAGGGGGATGCGGAGGAAGAGATAGTGAGAGCTATGTTTTCCTCTCCCGTCGCCGTTGTCGTCACTGGCGCCATCGGCGACCTCGGTCTTGGCATATAGCTACCACTAATGTCATTACTTGGCCCCGTGCTCGTGAGTTTCTCAGCTCCACGTCCTACGACGTCTATTTGCTACAAGAGCTGTTGACAGGTGAGGAAGCTGTAGAGACCGCAATGTCCGATGTCAGCTCTTGGGGTTACCATTCCTTCCTGCGGCCATCTGTCCTGGCCCAGGCGGCAGGACAGTCGGCGGGAGTCGGGGTGGTTCCCTCTTGGGCCTACGGCGTGCAACCGCTGCAGCTTGGCATCGAGCAGTTTCCACCCCTGGAGAAGGTAATTTGCATCGCAAGACAGACATGGCATTGTACAATTGGACATACTTGTCTTCAGCGTTAATATGTACAGTGGTAAGGGTGATGACGCCCTGGCTAAGACTACTCATCTGCAGTTGCAACTTGCTGCCGTCCAGCGCGCGGCTTCTACTTCATATATGGTTGGGAGGCTGGCAGATGTCACCGGCGCAGCTCGCAGCATCGGGATGGCCTGACCTCGCGCAGGGCTGCATAAAACAACTCACGCGGAAGACGCGGACATCTCGCACGAGGACCATTGTTGCATCGTTTATTTTGTTGCTCATCAGTTGTTAGCGGCCGGCTCGACCTGCGAAGCGCGGCCCAGCGCGGCCATTGCAAAACGTGAGCCCGCTGCACTGACGGTGGCGGGGTCCTTGTGAACAAGGCTTGCGCCTTTGATTCGGCGTGCCCCAGATTTCTTGTGCCATTGGCCAATGGGCGCGCTCCCGAACATCTCGCCGATTGAAATGCCCAACCCGAGCTTCTCGCTGGTCTCAACGACCTCGACTTTCTACAAGTTGCCGCGCCTCGCTGGGCGGAACTGTCGGCTAAGGATTTCTGACGTCAGATGGATCCAGAATCATGTCGGGCGCGCCCCCCATACAGGGGGATTTCCGACGGAAAAAATACACCAAACATGCCCCGAGAAGGTCGAACACGATTCAAATAATAGTCCCCACATTATGTTTGGATCATGTTTGGGGCACTTGTTATTTTTCGTCGAAAATCCCCTTGTAGGAGGACAGGCCCGACTTAAATCCAGATCTTCATGGCAGATGATCAGGAGGAAAAGAAACGCACAGACACAATTAATCCTCGATTCCCAAGAAAATATTGGAAAATATGGGAAGTGGGGGGGAAGACAGAAACCCAGAAAATATGGAAAAATAGAGGGAATCATTTTATTTGTGTGTATTTATTTGTGTGTCCTGGGGCCCCTTCAAATGAGGCCAGCCGCCGTCGACTGCCCATTCTCGTGCTGCCACGAGTCGCCGAGGCCGCAGTCGGACCACTTTCGCGGGCCGCCCATGGAGGCCCCGTTCTGCGCGATTGCCCTCGGTCTTCTAGGCCTCCTAGATGGGGTCGGAGTAGATGGGGTCGGAGGATCGTGCTGCATTGTTCATGTATCGGCGATGTGTTTCGATGCGGAGCCCGATGTGCTTCACGTCTACGTCGCCACTGCATCGCCGACGTCGTCGATGCATCGCCAGTGCATCGCCGATGCATCGTCGATGCATCGCCGATGTATCGCCGATGCGGCGCGATCCACCGACCCCATCTACTCCGACCCCATCTAGGAGACCTCTAGGTCTTGCATTTTCGGGCCAGAGGTTCGAGAGCCAGCGCGAAGTCGGGCGCGTCCCCCTACGGAGATTTTCGACGAAAAATGAAAAATGTACCAAAACTACCCCGAAATGCCAAAAACATATTCAAAACATAGTTTTCAGCTGATTTTTTGGGAGTATGTTTGGTCTATTGTTTCGTCGAAAATCCCCCTGTAGGGGGACAGGCCCGGCTTAAGTCAGCGCTAAGTTCGCGCGCTTGCAGAGCGCGCCGATGTCGCCCCAATCCAGGAGAAGGATCGCGCCCTAGGGAGCGGGACTGGCGGCGCGAGCAAGTCCGTCGCATTTCTGCCTCATCGGTTGAAGCAGTCAATGCCCTCGCCGGCCAGCTCGACGCAATGGCCGCGGATGCCGAAATTGCATCGCCGAAGGTTCGCCATCAGCAGCAGTGCGATTGGGCGCTCGCCGCAACGTCACAGGGTTCGGCAGCCGCTTACAAGTGCATCCGCGGGAGGCCGCCTGGGCAACTCTTCGAGGTGAAACCGGAGATGGATTCAAAAGCCCCCATCCCCGCAGCGCCATCTTCATTGCCGTGAAGAGTCCAGGCACGGTGTCTGGGGCGTCGGCAGGGCAAGCGGCCCCCGGACTTCCCCCAGTTGACGCCCGAGCAGCTGGGGTAGCTTACCCCGCCAATGCCGCGGGGCCAACGACGGGTGTCAAAGCGGCGCATGGCGCGCGCAGCAGTGAGTCGTGACCACATTCGCCCCCGGCACCTTGCGCCTCAGCCCGGCCCAGCGCCCTGGGCGCGCGCGAGGCCATGGCGAGCCGCGTTGCGAGCGGGCTCTGCGCCGCCAGTTCTCGCCCGCGCCGGATTGCCTGCCATCGCCGAGCCTGCACTTGGAGATCGACTTGTTGTTGCGTTTTCCACATTTGCTCGCTCTTGCACCAAGTGTTTTCGGTGGTCTTGGGGATCGCAGCGGGCTCGCGAACGCGGATGCCCGCGCCTTTTCTCGGGGCAGCTCGGAAGTCTTCGATTCAATGCGTCCGGCGGCAGATTGTTTTTCATTGGGTTTGCTCATGCACGGGGGCGGGTATATTGCAGTTTCTTATTGAAGGCCTTCGAGGATGTATTGCGTCGCATTCTATTGGAAAAGGCTACCAACTTAGCCTTTAACTTGGTTCGGCTGCTTCTCTCGATAGCGCCGCGTCGCGGGCCAGGGCTGGCGCCGACGCGCGGCGTGCCAGGGCGCGCGGCACAGTCAACGCAAGCTATTGTTGCTGGATGTGACTCTGCTGACTTGCTCACGAGAGCCATGCTGATCCCTGGCGTGGATAAGCTATTTCAGCAACGCCAGCGCGCATTCGCTGGAGTCGCAGCTGATAATGTTCAGCGTAATGTTATTGTCACCTTGCGTCGTGAGCTGGAACGCGCCCCCGTGGGTGCCACCGACAGAACTCGGGCGCTCCAGGCTGCTGGAGTACCCGCGTCTCTGAACCCTAACATGTAGTTCTTCCTTGCCGCGGGCCCTGAGAGGGCAAAGGAGGTCGTGTCCCGCGCGCCAGATCTCACGGGCTTCGATGCCGCGCGCGGCGCGGAATCTGGGCACTGATTACATTGCGCGGCCATCCTGGGTCGCAGTCCAGCGCGTCAGGAAGCATCTTCTGGAGGGGAGTGCCACGCGCGATAGACGTCTTCCCAACCTTCGCACAGCTGGCTGGCGAGCCCAGCCGATGCTGCGACCTGCGCTAGGTTCCACGACGCTGCGTGGCGCCGGCGTCGCGGGCTTGCCCATGCAGCGCGCGCGCGAGCTGAAGCAGCGCTATCATGCAGCACTCGGCACGCGCGCGCACAGGTGTGCGATTTGGGATCTGATCCCGCACTACGCCCAGCAGTGCCAGCGCGCGCGGACGTTCTGACCGTGTGGGCTCCTCGGCGGGATGGAGTCCCGTCGGAATTCTTGTACTCGATGAAAGCCTGCCATGGGCGAGTCGGAACGTCACTGCCGAGACACCTTGGCGTGATTTGCGCGGCCCA